AGGCTTTGAAACTGCTTCCACCAGTGCTGCAACTCCACTCATGGGAATGATCCCATTTAAGTCAACAGCTTTGCAGAGTATTCTCAATTAAAACATATTCTGAGGAGAAAGCATTAGATAATATTAATAAGCAGGGCACATTGCACAGGCTGAGTTTACACTGGAGTTCAGGGCAATGCCAGTGTCACAGCAGCTAAAGCCAGGCCTGCAAAGCTTTCTGCCCAGGTTGCAGGAGATTTTACACAGCTCCATCTCCAGAATTTGGCTGCAGCTGTATTTTACTGTGAGGCCCCCCAGGCAAAGGTCTCATCTATTAAGTGGCCTTCACTCTGCATTTCAGTACCTCCCAATTTGCATGTTGCTGTTCCATTATCCTTAACAACTGAATGTAATAAATGTTGTGTATAATTTGTAATGATCACACACAGCTTTGAAAAATAACATTGAACTGTTTATTTTTGAGGTCCTTAAGGATGGAAAAAATTATTTTTTCAAGGCTAATTTACCTCTCCTGGAAAAAAAATCTAAACAGCTGAGCAATAAGATCCTTTGCTATTTTGCCATGATGTGATCCTGAATATAAGCCAGGTTGGGATGACATCACAGGACATAATGAACACTCAGTTTTGACATAATGAAGGTCCATTATTTTATGAAGAAAGATTTTCTGGGGTTTAAGAAATAAAATGATTAGAAAACTATGTGCTCTGCAGGAGGTAATGAGATTAGCTCAACACATGGTCCTGCAGAGCTAGAACTACTCCAGACACAAGAAAGACTCAGCCATTCAGTGGAAATTTCAGGGTACAATTAATCTACTCTAAGGTCAGATAAGGGCTGTGTCTTTGCTTTGCCATGAAAAAGAAATCAGTTGATAAAATCTCAAGGGATCATGTCAATGCAAGCTTCAAAGAAATGAACAATATAAACCCAGTTTTCTTGGTATGAATGGTAAATGTTTACTTACTTTAGCGAAGGCCTTGGAAAATAAAAACCATACAGGAAACTGCTCGTAAAGTGTGTGTGAAAGGAACAGCCGGTGGATCTTGTTACAGGACTGAAAGGAAGATAAATTAATGCACTGTAAAACGGAGGCTGACTCCTGACCTGTGAGGATGCTGGTGTATCCATCCAGTTCTCTCTGTCACAAATCTGTACAGGAGCTGGCTTGGAGCAACTTGAGTCCAAGCCCATTCTACTGGAGTGGAAAGAAATCACAGGTTTTAGCGTGGGTTGGCTCAGGGCCCATCTGCTTGTTCACAGCCCAGTGCCTGGTTAGTCACAGGTCTCTTGAGAGAGGAAAACCGTGGTGTAATGGACCCTGGGACCTACATTAGATCATAAAATGCTTAAGGTGTGTTTTTCTCATTTTTTATTGCTACTATGTGCAGTTCCCTTTCCAGGTCAGTTGGTCTCCCGTCTCTCACCAGTAAAGGGGAAAGAGTTTCCTTCTGACAGCAGTAAAGGTCTGTAGAGAACATAAAGATGAGAGGATGGATGGTCTAGAGGATGGCAGGCAGCTCTGGGATTTAAAACCCACTCCTCAGTCCCCGGTTTTATGTTCTTGCTGTCACTAACTCTCAGCCGTAGCAGTTCATCCCTCCCTGAAGATGTTAAATGCATTTATTTTCATGGTTACCTCTTTGAAGTGCTCAGATGTGATTGCAATGGGCATCACGCACAGAACAAAGGACCAGAGGAAAAAGGAGAAGCCAAGATATGTCTCTGGCAGAGGAATAGAACCAGAGCTGAAGGCAGAGCTGGGGGTGTCCAGCTCTCACATAGAATATCCTGAATTGGAAGGGACCCACAAGGATCATCGAAGTCCAACTCTTACCCATGACCAGGACTATAGCAAGATTCACACCATGTGCCCGAGAGCATTGTTTGAACACTTACTGAGCTCTGCCAGGCTTGGTGCTGGGACCACTGCCCTGGGGAGCCTGTTACAGTGCCCGACCACCCTCGGGGTGAAGAACCTCTTCCTAACACCCACCCTAACCCTCCCCTGACACGGCTTCACGCCCTTTCCTCCCACGTTCCTCCCCGGGAGCTGGCGACGGGCACGAGCATGAGTTTGCACGTCCCTTCGCGTCCTACTCGGTGCAAACAAACCCCTCCTCTGCGCCGCGCCCGGAGGGATGTGAGCGGGAGCGAACTCCCTTTACAGCAGGGGGATGAGGGGACATTGCAGCGGGGGCTGTGAGGACACGGGCAGCGCAGAGCAGAAGCGGCTCCCGTGCCCTCGGAGCTCGGGGCGGTGCCGGGAGCCCCGGAACAGCCCCGGCCGGGGGGCGGGGTCGGAGGCGGGCCGGGGCGCCCCAATCAGTGGGGCGCGTCTCGCCGCCGCTTTAAAATGATTTGGGGGCCGGGGGCGGCGGGCTGCTGCTGCTGCGCGGTGCTGTCGAGCTGCCGCGGTCCGTCCATCCCTCCGTTTCACCCCCGGCAGCGCGGATGGGAAAGCGGGCGGCGCTCCTGGTGCCGTTCTTGCTGGGCTTCCTGGCGAGCGGGCGGGGCCGCGGAGCGCGGCTGCCAGCGGGGCCATGTGAGTGTGCCGGGGGTCTGGGGGCTCGGGGAGGGGGACAGCACCACCGGGACACGCCGCCTTTGTCCCTGCGGGCGGGTCCTGCGGCCACAAAGAAAGTTTGGGTGGGAGCGCCCCAACTCAGCGCGGTCCCCGCAGCGCAGGGCGCCCCAACTCAGCGCGGTCCCCGCAGCGCAGGGCGCTGACCCGCCGAGCTGCTTTGGGTGGGCACTCGCGAGGCTGCCCGGGCGGGCTCGCCTTTGATGTGGGATCTGAAGGGAGCTCCAGGGAGCGCGTTGGCATCCCCGGGTCTGCTCCTGCCTTCCCGTTTAACGAGCGAGAGCAGAGCTGAGCCCTGCGAGGGGCACGCTGAGCTCTGCCGGGGGGAGAGCAGCTGGAGGGAGATCAGAGTAGCAAATGTGAATCGAGGAGGGGAGACCAGAGTAACAAATGTGAATGCAGGAGGGAAGGAAAGAGACGGGGTGCGGGAGGGGTGGGAGCGCGGGGAGCATCCTCCCGCAGCGGTGAGCGCACACAAAGGAGCCGGGGCCACATGTGTGCGGGAGCGGGGGGAAGTTTCTGTGAGGTGTTTTTTGCACGGCGTGAGCAACAAATGGCCTTTGTTGCAAATGCGGCGTAACATTTGTGTCTAGATGTAATTTTCTGATCAAATTCCAAACCAGGGTAGCCGGCAGCGTGCGCAAAATCTGTGGTTAAACTTTGTGCTCGTCGAAATTGAACGTTTCTGGAAACTGTTTCCTGCTTTGTGTACCTTTTCTCTACAAGGCTCTTCTTGTGTTTTTAAGGAATCTCGTGTCCCCTGCTTCCCCCTCGAAGCAACCTGACAACAGCCTTCAGTCTGTGTATACCCTAATTTCTAACCTCTTCCTGTTTGGTTTTTTTTTTACTTCATCAACTTCATCCCACCCTTTCATGATTTGCTTTCAATGTAGTTAATTCTTCTGTCAGAAAATCGAGATTTCCAAGCCTATTGCTCATTGGTTTTCTATGTAATACCATGTAAATATGTATTCAGCAGAAGTGCTTTTAAGGTGGTTTATATTACTCCATTTTGCTGGAGCACAAAGTATCCATCACAGTGTTTAGAGAAGTTAAGTTCATTCTGTGGTAAAGCATTTTCCTTTGTTAAAAGTGCTCTGTGTTTCTTTCAGATGTCCTCTTGCTCTCTTTCTGAGCAATTACTCTATTAGGAGGAAGAATAGCATTGGCCTACATTAATCTGTTTGCATTTGACATCAGTAATAACTATGATTCTGCACTTTTGAAGCTGGAGGTGCTGTTAGCTGTGATTTGCCTCCAAACAATTCTTGTTTGCTTTTACCTTTTTCAAGATAGTGTCACTGAAAGAATGCAGGAAATGTTCCCTTCTGGAAATGGTGCTGTGTGAGGATGGGCTGAAGTCACTGGGAGCAGCAGTGCACTGTTTGCCAGCAGCAATCACAAACACCCACCCAGACCCACAGACCTGTGGCAGAGCCTTGAGTGCTTCTCCCAAGAGGCATATTCCTGAAATTGCTGCAATTCTTACTGCTTTCCCTGAGCTGTGGCAAGAATAAGTATTACTCCAAACTTATTTTATGCTATTTAGGGGCTTTACGTTTGATGTAAACAGAAATACTCAGTCATGACTCCTTAACCTGCCAGCTTTCACCGAGAAGCAGTGGAATGTCCAAGAGGACTCTTCATGAATTGTCTTTTCCTAGTAATTCTGGTTTGTTCTTTTGACATGGGTCATCTGCAGTCAATGGAATAAGAACAACAAATGTATCCCTTGGAACACAGCACTCTGAGTATGTTCTTTGCTGTTATTTTGATTGAGATCTTATGTGGCTGAGGCTATACAGGATATTCTTCATAATTGTTTTTGTTCTGCTGCTAACTTGAGTGCTCGCTCCTAGCTAGAAATGCGAGGGATCTGTGTAGATGTTGATGTTCTGCTTCCAAGCCCCCTGAGGAGATTTAATGTAGAACAGATTACAGGATGACTGGTTATTTCCATCAGCTACATTTCCAGACAATTAGCCCTTGATGATCTGGTGTTAGAACTTTGGAGAACACTGGAAGGACCAGAGAACAAACATGCCATTTTCGTTGGAAAGCATATTTGGGCCTCGAAACGAGGAGTAACCATCTCTTATCATAAAAAGCACATTTTTAACAGTGAGCTCTGTAGTCCAAAACTGGGGTATGTAATGACAGTGTAGATGTCAAGTGTGGTTAACCAGCATTGGGTTCACTCTCAGCATCATGCTTCACGGAATTCTGGGATGGTTCAGAAATGGGAAGTGAGAGTAGTGGGCTTGAGTTGCAGGAATAGGAGCTAAGAGGAGAGGGCTTGAACTGCTGTCAGAAGTGGTAAATCCTCTTTTAGAGAAATATTCCACTAGGAGTTTGAACAGTACAAATATCTGCTCATAGTTAGTGGTATAGGACAGAGCAAGAGGCAGGAGTGGTTATGAGGTATGTGCAAGGAACCTCCTTTGTGCAATAAATATTACCTTCCATGGTTAGGACTGGGCTCAAGAATGAATTCCCAGGTGACATGAGTGAGGACTTCTTTGAAAAAGCCATGAGATAAGCTTTGTTCCTGGCTTGTCTGAGCCCCTTGACTCTCTCTGTGGTTTTGCAGGTCCAGGATGACATCTGAAAGGGCTGCTTTGGTCTTAGAGGAGCCAGTCACAATCTTGCAATAAAACTGTTTTGTTTAGGGTTTTTCTTTACTGCTCACATGTTGCAGCTGCATATTTTCACTTTATCCATAAACAAGTAAATCTGGTTGCATTCCAAGGAGCACCTGGATGTAGAGCTGAATTCCTGGCTGAGTAACTGTTTTCAGCTTCCTTCAATTCTATGGGGCACTGTAGGATTTCTTGTGCTTCTCCAGATAAATCACATTCCCAAAAGCAAAATCTTCCATTCAGATGTTTATCTGCACTTGCAGCACTCCAGGAAATTTGACCTTTCAGCTGTACCAGTTGTTGGGCTGGAATGATACAGGACTATCCTTGCCCCAGGTCTCACTGCAAACAGATGTGGCTGTGGGCGCTACTTCCAAGTGACATAAATAAAAATTTCTTTTAAGGAATAATTAAGAAAGAGGTGAAGTCCACTTTTTTTTTGAGGGCTGGAACATATTTCAGGTTAAACTGCTGCTCTTGTACAAAGCATTTCCATACGAAGAGATGCCTCTGGGTTTTGATTGCTACAGTGAAACAAATTGCACGTCAATTTGAGTGTTGGAATGCAATGCAGAAAACAAAGAAACACAAATGCTTCTATGAAGTATATGGTGATACAGCTCGAACTTGGAGCCTGGAGTTGTGTCATAATACTGTCTAAATGATGTGAAAAGTAGGTTGTGTAGTAATTTCTTGGTGAGAAATTATCTCAGTGTATTAGCCAATACACTGTATTTTCACCTGTGGTGATGCCAATTTGCAGGTGTGAGGAAAGTTTGTATTCCTAGCATTAAATAGGGGCTTAAAGTATTTCTAGTTTGGTGTTGTTTTTTTGTTTTTTGGTTCTTTTTACTGAAATCAGTAATGTAGTAAAATCTCCTTCCATTTCTTTCAGTGGGTTATCTTCTGTTCAGAGATTTGACACTTTAAAAAAAATTTTAAAAGTGAAAATAAACACTTGGTAATAAGTGAGCCACTAGTTTATTTATGTCTGCATCTTACATTAAGATTGAGTCTTATCAGCTCTTTAAAGTGATGCTGGCAGCCCAGAGTCACTGCCAGTTGTTTTCAGCTGAAACTTCAAGCACTACTTCCCATTTCTGCCTCCCCAGAACCTGTAAGGTTGCAATAAACCCTCACTACTGAGTAGCAGCTACTCCAGCCTTTGGCATTTGGGTAATGTGATTCGAGGAACATGGTTGAAATGCTTCAGCATCAAAGTTTATGGTAGTTTCATCCCCTGGGTTCCACACTCCTGCCCCCCCCCAGTCCCTTAATATGCAGTTGAAGTCTGAGGTGTTTCTCATCCTTGTGAATGTGAACATCACCCTGAACAAAAATAGTCTGTTTAGCCTGTGCACTACAGAGTGTTGCCACCAGATAGAGCTCATGCTGGTCAGCATTAGAGCACAGAATCCCATTTTTCAAGACTTTGCACTTAAAGCTTCTGTTTCACAGTTCCTAAAGGAAAATTAATTTTCAATTTAGTCTTTTAACAGATGGTAAAAGGCTCTTTTTTCTGTCTTTTTTTCCCCCCTGGTATATTTGCTGTCAGGAGACTTAAAGATAATGAATGAGTGTCATCTTGCTATAGTACTTTTCCTGATTTATGACATTTTCCTGCTCTTCTGGAAAAAAATGAGATCAAGACTTTCTCCTAAACTCTGAAATAGCTGTAAGACAGGACCATAAAATGTGATTGCCTGAAGTTGTTGTATTTATCAAAGATCTCATGATTGACTGGAAATATTTTCCAGTTTTATAAATATTTGTTTTTATGCCAGAGACATCACAAACTGTACTTCCAAAAGGCTCAGAAATTTCCTACCCATAATCACAGTAGCTTATATATATATATATATACTGTATGATTCTTAAATCTGCACATTTAAAGTAGGTAAGATCCTGCTGCTTTTCAGTTTTAATGGGATTTGGCTTCTCAAGTTACCCTTTGAAAATGTCCACTAAGAGGAGAGAACTTGTCAGGTTTCTTGAGGTTTAATTGTTCTGCATTATGAAATGTTGATATAGTTTAGTTATTTATGCAATAGTTTAATGTTCATACACTGTGTGTTTGCAGTATTGCTGATTTCTAGGAAAATTACCTGTTTTTTGCTTTGACTTCTTTCTTCTGCATCGTTTTTTGTCTGGTGCTGTTTATTTATCCTAGTTCTAGGCATGCCATGATCTAGATATGACAGAGAACATGGAATATTTTTAATAAATTCGAAGAAACCTCCTGGTGAGGAGGGGTGAGATCATCTGTAATGCAAAACTTCATCTTTGGATGACTTGTCAGTAGAACCTCCTGTGACGGAAGCGATGCTTTGGCTCCCAGAGAGTTAACAGCCCATGTTGCAGACTTGTGTTATTCACCAATTAAATACCTTCTCTTTGAACAAAGTTAATAGATTTCCTTCCTCTGAAATTCGAGCCTGTTATTGCTTATATTCTCTCTCAAATCTATTGCTTTCAATTTATTTCCGAGGAGAAAGAAATTTCCTTTCATTACTGCGAAATCAAAGCATTTTAAAATTACGGACTGAACATATGTAGTCTTGGGTCTATGCTTTGGATTCCAGGCTGGTCTTGGTTTAAAACTAATCATTAATTGTTCCTGAGGTGAACTTGAGATTTCTGCCTTTGGTGTAGGATGATGTGTGCTTTAATGTGTACACAAGCTGAGCCCACACTGAGCTGTATTTCAGTGCCTTTGACCTGTGGATGAATATTTGATCTCGAGTATGAAAAGGGGAATGTTATTTTAAATCAGTGCTGATGTTCTTTTTTTGTGTTCTTTAGCAGGAACACCTTGCTTTCCCCTGAAGTCAGAGCAGAATGTGGCACGAAATGTTGTTGAGTAGGGAATGCCATGCCCAGATCGTATTTTTATGTCCACAAATTGCTTCAATATTGAAAATATATCACAATATCTTGGGCTGTGCCTGGAGAGGAGTTATAAGGTGCTTTGTATTGTTTTATAACAAAAAAATCCACTCAAAATATGAAACACTTTGATGTTTTGGGCCTGGTCTTTTCAGGTTAGAATATTCTCATATAGGAAATGAGTTTTCATACATTTTATCCCTTAGAAGACTCTTCAGTGGTTACCCTTGTGTTTGTCATTGCTGGGGCTCTCCCTGCCTGACTGGTGCATCATCAATGGTGAAAAATACCATTGCATAAAGTTATCTCTTATAGTTGTATTGTTCATGAGGCAAGTCCTGTCCTTCTCTTTGTCTGTAGAATAATACCAGGAATCTGTGGGTTATTTAGAACTTCAATGTAAGTTTCTAATCCAAAAGATCAAAATGTTTGAGGTCCCCCCACCATTTACCACCCTTGAACAGTAATCCAGTAATGCACACTTGTTAGTTGCTGTGTTTATGTGGCTTAACTTCATAAAATATTGAGCTTTACTGAAATTGCTTAATGTTTAAGAAACAACAAGCAAACAAACAAAACCCAAACCAAACAGAAAACCTCATCAAATGGGTATTTGCATCAGTGGTATCAAGGTTTATAGAGGAGTAAAAGACAAGGAATATTTTAACACGTAAAACCTTGGCATGTAGGGATTTTTCTGACATATATTAGATGTTAATTTAAAAGTAAGCTTTCAAAATAGAGGTTTTGGCTTAAAGCTGTCAAAATCCAGCAACCACCAGAAAAGCAGTGAACAATTCTTAGATTCTGGTTGCCCAAATGAAACTGAGGATTTTGCTACCTTCTAACTAATTTAATTGTCAAACAACAGGGCACTTGCTGTGAACCAAAATGAGTTTTCTCTCCCTATGACAAAGTGGTGTGACACTTTAGTGATTTTTTTTGTTTGTTTGTTTGTTTTATTTTAATGTTTTAGTATCAGGTCCCTTTGTGCCTTGTTGCCAAAAGAAGCTCAGGTGTGTGTACCTGACAGATTTACTGGGGTAACTTGTGTTACACACCCTTCTGCAGTGGAATGATAATGGACATGGGTGTAGTGAATGAGAAATTTCAGCTAGAAATGGATGTTGCTACTCAATGCTTTCCTCTGTAATGTTGAAATGCTTAGTTTTGTCTATACTCTGGACATTTGTTTCCCTTGTGTTAACAATGAGAACATACAAGCTATTTCTTAATGTTATATGTGATGTCTCTGATGGTTTTCTAATTACATTAGAGATGAATCCTTGGGACAACGGTCCTTAAATTGTCTGTAAAGCTGTATGTTGGTGCTGCTTGAGGCTTTGCAGGCCTGGTCACTGGCAGTGATGCTGACTCTTTCCTGGATGAAATAGAATGAACTGTAAAAATGGATGTTGCAGGGAGCTAAGACTACATGGCACTCTTAAAACCAGGGAGTGGTTTTTTTATTTTTTTTTTTAAATGCAAAAAAAAAAAAGGAAAAAATGACTTGGCAAATCATAGTAAAATGATCTGGATGTGCATGTTTATCTCCTGCTTTTCCTGCTAACCAAAATAGATTATTCTGTCTTGGGGGAGGGAGGAGGATGGTTAAATAGGAGCTGAACAACAGGAGCTGCACTTTGATAGCAGTAAGAACTAAAAATCTTATTGTTGTTATAATAGCTGAGTGTGTAATTAATCATCTCCTATTGATCTGCTCTTCATCTGGATGCAGTGCACAAAGGCTGAGGGACTCTCCTGTTCTTTAGCTGCTCCCTCTAATCAAGGGGGATGTGAGTAAGACACAGCAGTGCATTAGTCACCTGTGGGCTGGGGAGAGTCTTCTGTGGTGCACCTTCATCCACAGAGCCAGAGAACAGCAGTGATAATGAGACCTAATCTAAATGAGTTTGGTGCTTACAATCCCCATCCCAGAGGGCATATAAACATCACAAATATTGATACAGGATCAGGAGAGAGCAGGGATTGATTAGTGGTCAAGAGAGAGGGATGTCCTAATTGTCTCTGGTAGTCCTGATGAATTTTATCAGGGAAATGTGGGGAAATGAGCCTTAAAATAGATTAAGGGTAGAAAGGGGAGTTTGGCAGTTTAAAAAAAAAAACCTTTTCTGTCATTCCAGGCTTTCTGAATTGATATTGCTATTAAGCAATATCCATCAAGAGACAAAATTTATCTATATAAATAAATATATGTAACTTATTCTTTGGACATTTTGTTTCTGTGGCCTATTTCTGAATTTGACTTTCCTTTTTGTGTTGAAATAAAATTTGCTTTTTTCTCCTTTCCAATTGAGAATATATATAGAGAAAACTTTCAATTGACATCTTGTTTGCATATATCATGTTGCTGGCTGTTTCCCCTCTATGGTGCCACACATTTCTGCACGGGGTCACCCCGCCTTTCTAGAGATCTGGGGATGTTTTGCTCGTGTGGTTGGAGTTGTGAGGGCATTCAGACAATTTTCTGACCTGAGAAGTTTGTAACCAAAGCCATAATACCAATGTACAACTATTTTCTGATCAACATCAGTGCATCTCTAGAGCAAAAACACTTGTCATCACAGCAGTGGATGATTTAGCCCTGACTATAATCTTGGTTTCCTTAAGGAGAGTTCTTATTTGATGTTGTCAAACTGAATCTGGGAAGGCAGACTATGCTTTTCTAAACTTTTAATAACGGCATAAAGGCATAAAAGCACCGACCAATTAGTGTTTTGAAAATACAGGATTCCAGCAAGTTGCTTCTTATGACAGGTTTCATCTATTGACTGTTTTATGGGAAGATCAATAGTGTTCAGGCTGCAAATTTGTCAGCTGAGGCAGTACAGGCTACAACAGCTCATTTTTAAGAAGATGTTAACAGCCACCTGACTTAGTGTAGAAGGTGGTGTCATTCACTTAGTCTCTGTGGAAAGACCTAAAATCAGACAGACAAATCAGTCTTTGCTTCTTGTTCATTAAGGTTTTGATTTAAAGTTTGCACTGTAGAAAGAAGCCTTTAGGGATATGTTGATGTGTGTTTGCTCTCTCACTACCGTTAAATCTGCCTAACTTTAGCTTCTTGTATTGAGCTGGAAGAAAGTGGGTTGGTAGAATGAGAGATTTAATTTAATTGTCATTCCGAGAGCCAAGTGTCAGGCTCATGTTAGGCAGAAAATGAAAATATCCCTGTCACAGAGATATGATGTATGTTTGTAACCAAGAAACAAGAAAAGGAAGTGTCCAAGGCCAGGTTGGACAGGGTTTGCAGCAGCCTACTGTAGTAGAAGATGTCCCTGCCCATGGCAGGGGAGCTGGACTTAGGTGATCTTTAAGGTCCCTTCCAACTCAAATCATTCTGTGATTCTATGGTAGAGCTATTCCCTTTCTTTTTAGAATTCTAAACACAGGAATGACTTACATCCTGCCTGGAGAAGCTTTTAATTTTCCCTGAACTTTCCTGTTGTGCAGTGGTTCACAGGCACCACAGCCACATGATTAGCCCAGGCTGCTCTTGCTTCATGTTGGTCTAATTATCTGTTCATTAGAATCTCAAGTCTTCAGCTGGAAGTGTGTAGGGTGTCTTTTGTTTAAAGGGCAGTCTCCTAATGCAAATATTAAGAGAGCTTTCTGCCTCGCCTGAGTCAGACTGACAAGCTAATAATAGCCTTCGTGTTAGCCTTGGCTAACAGAGAGCATCAGGATAAAAAGGTTTTAAGGGACTGGTGTATCAATCAAATCATAGGCCATAATATGCATTTGAGTGTTTTGCTTGTTTTAACACTTAAACTCCCATTAAGAAGTATTTTCTGAATGCAAAGGGCACGGGAGTAAAAATGGAGCTGTTCTCCTCTAAATACACCATTACATCCACTTGAGGCTTCAGGTCAGCCTTGGATGGCCTCTATTAGCAGAATCCCATAGTACAAAAGCTTTCAATAGCTTTCAATAGCTGTGGCCTTGTTCAAGTCACTGTCCTTAAGTTAATAGGTAAGGTATCAAATAAGTCAGATGGCTTAAAAACTGTCGTGTTGGCTCTGTGGGGGGAACTGTGAAGATGGTGAATGGTTAGAGAGGGCATGTTTGATTCCCAGCTTTGCCAGCAGAGGATTACATGTTATGCAATTGCTGCAATTTAATTATAGTGTTTCAGTGGCTTTGATATCTGCCTTTAAATTATCCCAAGGGCATCTAGGAGGAATGGCTTACTTTGAATAAATCTTAATAAATATATGACTGCTGCTGGCTTGTTTTGCTCTGTGAGCGCCATTTGTTCCTATTAACCATATCCTAGAAGTCAACACTGCTATTCCTGGAAACATGGCAGTATCACATGAGCAGGAACTTATGGGATGGGCTCAATATGTCATTACAACAATTGTCAGCTTCTCCCTTTTATTTATGGAAGAGCGATGCATATGAATGTACCTTTATCTGGGAAATTTTAGGCAATTCTAATAAAAGGAGATATGCATGAATTATCAGAACATGATGTTCTATTCACTGGAGGGAGAGTCATTTTAAAAAGCCTGCTAAGTGAGACATGGTTGCTAAGTAAGGAGAGGGTTTTATTAGACCAACTGACGTAATGGAACAAAAAAAAAAAAGGCAGGCAAGATTTTGGGTGCACAAAGATCTTCTTCAGATGGGAAACAAATGGCAGACTTTGGGCTAAGAATGGCTTGGGAACAATGGCTCTGAACTTCAACTGAATCTGTTAAATGGGGAGGTAATTCCAAAGGGAAGGGATGGCTGGAACACATGGGAAGGATTGCTTAGTGATGGAAGTGGCATGGGAATGTGGAGGAAGGCTGGTTTCAGGAGGAATTTACAGCAATCTGAAACTGTGCTGTAACTGTCTTCTATCCTTCTTCAGGGTGTTGGGAGCTGCAGGCAGGGCAGACCCAAGGAATGGGAAATACAGAGCAATATAGAAATTAGACTCTGCTTTGGAGAAGGAAGAACATGGGGGGATGTCCATGGGCAGTGTGGTTTGATATGATGGAGATGAGCAGTTTCTCTAAAGCCTGGGAGCAAGAAACATTCTAGTTCAGGAAACTAACTTCTGTCAGACAAGGTTTTCTAGTACAAATGGACTCTTTACTGTCCTTCCATGGTGTGATAGGACAGCTGGAGAACACAGTTGTGGACTTTTTTCTGGCATCCTTTATGCTGGCTACCTGAATTCCTGAGGGAGTGGTTGGCTTTAAAATCTGTTTTTAAATCTCGTTTGTTTCTCTACGGAAGTGTCCTTGTTGAGCAAAGGACTTCTTTCCCCTGAGGTAAGATCCCAGGCATTTCCCTGGGAGCTGTGGTACCTTTGGGAGACCTGGCTGGATTTCCCATCCTCTGGGCTTGGCAGGACCACTGGTCTCTGTAGAGTACAGGGAATATTGTGGAGTGGATTTGATCTAGGCAGGGTTTCTTCCATGTATTTAGCTCAGCAGTAAAATTGATCATGGTTATAGTATTTTCCTGTTCTGCACAGGCTTAATTTAATGATATTTGTAAACTACTTGAAGACCTGTGGATGAAGGATGTGCTCTATTATTAGCAAGGCTACTTTGTGTGGTGTTCAGACATAATAGGGAGCCTCTGAGATAAAAAGCACCATAAATCTTGAACGAGATATTAACAATATCCAGTGTAGCTGATGAGAACTAACTGCCAGGCAGCTGTTGGGCTGGAACTGTTCTCTCTTATTTGAGCAACCCCTCCTGGTTTTGTAGCACAGGCTCATGTTCGTACCTGTGTCGACTGACAGAGGAAACAAGTGTGACAGTGTGTGTGTTACTTGATCACTCTTTAGCTTGAGGAGAGGTCTCAGACTGAAATTTGGGGAAAGACTTGTCTGCTGAATATTGTTGTTGTCAGAGTGGGTAAACAAGGTGCCTGTTCCCCTCTGTGTTTTAGTTATTGAGGCTTAAGTTTGAAAAGCCTCATCAGGCTGTCTTGGGGAATCGGTAATTAAATTATTGTGTTAACAATCTGTAAACTACTCGAAAAAATTAATTTCATTTTGTTGCAGCAAGCTCCTGTTTCAAAAGATGACAAACTCCCTCAGTTTCTGTGGTTTTAGTTAGACCCTGCAAGTTTGATGCTGTTGTTTTCTGTCATAGAGAATTTCCTCATTTACACCAGGACAAAGGAATTGGGATAAGGCTGACAATCTCTGCAAAACCATCGACATGTAACCTTTTTTTTGACCCTCCATAGCTCCTGCAATCCTGCTATTTTTGAACTCTGGCTAGGTAGCAGGATGAAGATTACATATCATCCTCCAAAGCAGCGTTTTTATTTTGGTCTTGTTATTTTAGGAATAATCAACAGAGAACAAGGATACTTCCCCTTATGAATTTCATGTGCTTCCCTGAGGGGACTGATAGCAAGGGAGGGCTCTTACAGAATACACAATTTCCCCAGCAATAGTTTAGATAAATCTTATCTGCCCTTGAATCTGTGGTAAATCTTTCAGTGACTTGTGTGGAGCCTGAATTTCAGTGCATGTTTACGTGCTGCTTCCTAAGGCGTAGAGCTGCAATATTTTTAAACAGCCGTATAAATTCTGTTTCAAACTGTTATGCATAGAATAATTTTATGTATATTTCTCTAAATGTCTGAATTTTATGCTGGAAATTATGAAGTATGTCTTTTTCTTTCCCTCAAGGCCGAATGTGTGCCCAGTGTTTGAGTTGGCCCTGGTGGGACACCAAGAGCCCTGTGTTCAAGCCTTTAGTCGGATGGTCAAGATGTGGAAACAAGGGTGTACAAAGAGGAGGTGGTGTGTGAGCTATGAGAGAAGGTAATATATTATCTATCTTTATAAATGGATTTCATTACTAACCTTTGTGCAAGTTCTTTTGCTTTGTGAGAAAGTTGTAAACTTCCTTCATCTGAAATATGTGTGACTTGGTTATGGACATAGTGCCCTGCTGAGACTTTACTTAAAATCTGTTATTACTAAGTAGAAACTGTGACTTTTTTAATGTGTTTTGGATTGGTCATGAACTTCTTGACTGGCTTTAGATCACAATTTTACATTATCAGAAAATGCTCCTGTCTCATTCTTGTTCAGGTGAAGTCCAGCTGTCAAGTCACTGACTTTGAAAAATTAAACTTCTTTCTGTTTCTGTCATATGCTTGGAACTGATGGGAGATCTGACTCCCCCAACAGCTAAAGCCAAAATTGATTGCAAAACAAAATTACCCACCTTTGACTAGCCTGAATACAAATTCTTCAAAAAAAAAAAAGTGGACATAATAACATATAAGAGCTATTGGATGTTATCAGGATGCAGTTTGCTATATTTGCTTCATTTTTAACAAGAGCTTCTGATAGAGGCTGAAAAAAAATATCTAGCAAATATGACAGATGAGTAGAGTTAATTACTGATGAGATGTGAATAAGTGGAATAGGAGTTGTGATTGTTCTCTGAAACTTCCTCTCCTCAAAGGTCTGGGTACTACACAGTTTACAAGCAGGTGTACAGGATGGAGCACCAGACTGTCTACAAGTGCTGCCCTGGGTGGGTCCAGCGTGACAACGAGCCCGGCTGTTTGCACTGTAAGTTGGTGGCAAAACTGTGACAAACCAAGGGAGATGACATCCCTTAGCCCTTGCTTTCCTACTAATGCCTACTCCTGGAAAGATGGATTTTGTTTCTTGCTGTTTATAACTGGGATTTCCAGTTCTAAAGAGGTGATCTAGTGATGGGGAAAGGAATGTCCTTTAAAAACACAAAAGCAGTCATGTAAAAGTACCAGATAGCTCTAATTTTAATCTGACTGTTTAGATTAACAGTCTAAACTCTGATTATAGTTGTTGCAGCATTTTTGTGCCAGTCTGGCTTTGACAGGCCAGCCAAATTTATTGCTGTCACCCAAATTATGCAAAGAAATCTGCTGTAAGGCACTTGTTTTTTGGACGTAGCACTCACTGCAGAGCCTGCCTGGGTTTGGCTTTTTCATTGCTGTTGTTGCCATTGGAGCAATTGTGTTTTTGCCCTGTGGTTCTCCATCTGATGAGACCCTCTTTCTATCTAATCATGATTGGATGTTTTCCTAAAAGATTGAATTTAATTTAAATGATAAGGAAATGCTTCAGCCACTGTTAACGAGACATCAGTAGAAGATGCCAACCTACTCAGTGTTTAGTTTTGTTACTGTTTTGTCAGTAATTGTATTTTCTGTATGAAAGTTAGCATCTGTTCTTATGTATTTTTTTTAATCTTCAAACCAACTCAAGGGCTGCGTTCAGACATCTTGCTTTTATGATTGCCTTTGTAGTTAAAAAATTAAAACAAGCCTGAGAGGTATTCCTGTTAGTTTTAGCCTGAATCTACATATTTAGTGTGCACCTGTTTAGTTGTAAGAAGTCAAAGATATGTTTACAATCTGCATGTTAATCTCTGGTGTAAAGGAATTTAGTGTACGTTAGCACCAGTGGCAATATGAAATTATTTTCTTCCTGAAAGAGCAGTGCAGACTTGCTTTGAATTCTTTAAGGCACCGAAGTGGTTGAATTACTCTTTTATATTTGATACTCTTTGCAACTTTGGCTCAAGTCTGTGGAATTCAAGTTATTGTAAATAAAAACTGTTCTGTGTTGGAGGAAGGGAAGAATTGTCATTCCCTTTCACATGTAGAATATTTTTTAGCACACCAGCGGTTCTTAACCATTGCTGCTTTGTTGTGGAGCAGTTCCTATGCTCTTTGATTCTGGATTCAGGCAGTGCTTTGAGACCTTAGAAACTGTCTTCTGCCTCTGAAGCATCTTCAAGTTAAACTGCATTATCTTAGTCTTATTTTTATTAAACTTCTTCATGTCAACATGGTAGTTTTACCCACGACAACAAGTTCTACTGAAGTCTAACCTTTCCACTTAAATAAAAAGCTGGGTTTCTTCTTGTTTGGAAGGTGTTGTTACAACAGGACTATGACAAAGGCAGTTCTTGAGGATCCTCGGCACAAAATCCACTAAAATCCCCTGTTTCATTCTGTTTGTGTGCACCAGTGCTCTGCACAGCTGGCACTTGCTTCAATGGAGGCAAATGTTCTGAAGAAGGATCCCAGGTGTGCCAGTGTCCTGCAGGATTTCAGGGTCCTCGCTGCCAGTATGGTGAGTCAAATGTAAATTGTCTCAAATGCATCTGGTGTTTGGGGAAAAGGCACATTCAACAACAATAACATGAATATTTTTTTAATGTTGACTTAATATTAAAGATGCCTTTGCTGCACTTCTGAGTGTTTATTTGGGCATTCTCTTATTGTCTTTTTTTTTTGGTGCTGATTTATAACAAAGCACAATGAAAATTTAATTTGATTGATATCAGATGAGTGAGTGTCTGTAAAGGATAATATCATTGGATATCAGCAGTGGGGTCCAGTGGAATATCTTTCAATGGCTTCTCAACTTCCACGTCCTTGTGGTGCTCTTACTAAATTTCTCAGCATTGTTTTTACACTTGTGAAAGTAAATTCTGAGTCAGAAGAGGTGGGCAGTGGGTAAAGAATGTAGCAAGTGAACCAAATGTACTTGTTCATGGGATTTCTTTTGGTGCATCTGAAAGTAGGAAGGCTGGTTTTACAGATCACTACCAAATATTTCCTAGTATTCTTGGAGTAATTTATTCACCGATCTTTCATTTCACTAACTGTGTTCTAGCATATGATAGACTAAATTCTATATGACTTAGACTATCACCCACTCTCAATGAGAATCCTTTATGTCTCATACACTGGCTCACAATCTATAAACCCACAATGCTTGTCTTGTAATTTAACATACTGTGTAAAGCTCTCCAAAATTACAGAACTGCATCCATTTGGCTTCTTAAGGGAAGGAAGAAAGTCATTCCTTCAGAGTAGGCTGTGATTGGGACAAAGGATTTCTTTTGTATCAGGCAAATGATAATTTCCTTTTCAACTGAAGCACATTTTGTTTTGTTCAAAGAAAGGCAGATTTTTAAGTACTTTGGGTCTTCCCTTTTAAATTCTAATATGTTCCTGTCCTCACCTGGCTTGTCTGTCATGAAATATAAGTGAGAAGGAATGTAACAATAAATAAAATGCAGAGCTGCTTACAATGGATGTTCTGCTGACATGAGACCACACTGTGCCAGCAGCTGCCTTCACACAGAGTTAGTTCAGTCAGGCTGTGATTGTGTATCTCTTTACTGCCCAGTGAAACCACCAGTTTATACGGATAAGTTGATATGAACCAGAGTGACACCAATGCAGGTTGCTTTGTTCTTAGCTTACAGAAGAGTTGCTGTTTCAAGGTAAGAAAGATCAGGCTCTCTAAGAAGCTTTCACCAAATGCAATATAAGTTTTAGCAAAATATGAACTGTTCTTGCTTGTCCTTTGAGTCTCCTTTTGCTTGGAAATACCTACAGCACTAAGGCATTCTCAGTGGGCAGATTAGGTGGCTGCAGCCCGTGGACAGCACAGGTCAGGTTTTCAGACTGAACTGAGACTGTTCAGTCTCTATTTCACAGGTTGGTGACTGCAGACACTGTAAAACAATGAGAGGTATCCTGCAGTTCTTGCTCTTTGCAGTTGGGTGGAACTTTTTATCTTGGTCGTTTTGTCTGCTCTCTATTGATTCCTGAGGTCTGAATGGAATTCCAGTCGTCATCATTTTCAGGTCTGTACAGCAGCTGCTATCGCAGCCTGGCAGGAGTAAGTTTATAAATTAAATTCTGAAGGAAAAAAACCTCCTTTCAGGAAGAATGTTATGGACCATTCACCTGCCTAACAAAAGCAAGGTAATTTAGAGTGTAAGGCCTCTTAACCATTGCAGGCATCTCCAGTCAGATGCTTGGAGGTTTGTATCATGTTTGTGCAAGCAAAACTGGATAAGAAATGTACTGTGGGACTAGCAGCTACAGCCTCTAGTTTTTCTGGCTGATGTTGGAATATTGCTGTGAAAGTAGCTTGGATTTAATGCAGCTGCATTACTTAATGGTAATGCACTGTGGGTTTAAATAATCATTAAGTCTAGACCCTGCCTTGCCTACTTGCCTGTGCAACCTTACTGTAAAATTGACTGTTTTCCTTCCAGCACTTGAACTAAAGGAAAAGGGATCTCTCCTACCAGCATCTTTTGCTTTGAGGATTCTGTGGAATAGATGAGTTCCAGGAAAACCACAGATGGTTTTTGGAACATGTGCTATAACATGGTAGTGGAAAAGCTGGTGCTAGGAGATGTGAGGCTGTCAGTGGGGACTGTTGGTACAGAGGCCCCTGACCTTGTACCTCGAGACTCTGTCCCTCAGCTGCCTCTTTGGCAGGAGTGTTCAGGAAGCTGTTTCAAGGGCTTTTACACAGGGGAAGGGAGGCTCTAACTGGATATGAGACCATGAACTGCCAGCAGAAATCTGCCCCTTGGACGTTCTTGGTTGTAATCTTGGTTTCTGTCACTTTTGGTTTTGTGGCCTCCTGTCAATCTCCTGACAGAGGAGGAATCATGGACATTTCATAGCTGCACCTGCACTCAATGGAACAAAATTGCTGCATGTATCCCATTTATATCTCCCCCTCTACAACCCTTTTGCTTATCTTCTTTCTGTTTCTGTCATCAGTGGTGACAGATAATTTTAAAGTTCTGCTTTTGCAGTAACTCTCATGATCTCCTTGCTGGGTGCCATGATCTGCAGACAATAGACAAGGAATTATTATAAAAATATTATTAAATTCAGTTACTCTAAAAAGCAAATGGGAACATACATCTTAAGAACCTTCAAATCTTGCTTTTCCTGCTGGTGAAGTTTGCTTGCCATTAAGTTAGGAAGTAGATCAGCATCCTGGAAATGAAGATTTGTCCTGGGCTGTCCTACAGAAAGTTTGTGATGGATCATCCAGAATGACTTATGACAGCCCAGTGCCTCACTTCAATCTGAGCAGAGATGATTATTCACAATTGGCATGATCTCAGCTAATGACTTTTCAAAGATATCCTGTGGTGCTTTTTGTAGCCTGGAACACGACGCATTCCTGATTAGATGCTGAAAGGGTCAGGGTTCCTGTAACAAACTTACTGTAATTGTGTTTAGAACTGTGTTACTGCATCTCTTGTACACGTCACTCCACAGTTTTATTATTTCACACACACAAGCAGCAAATAAAAACTCAGAAGAAAGATTTATGAGTGAAATGGTCGAGTTCTTCATCCAGCCATTACAGGGATTCGGTAACAGATTGAGCTGTCTCTGGCATTGTCTGCTGCAATTCATCTTGTAATAATAGACTTATATCAATTACAATGTGAACTTGCAAGCTGGATTTCTTTCTATTTTTTTTTTTTAACTTTTTTGGAAGTTGTGATCCCCACTTCTCCCAGAGAAAGGGAAAGAAGACTTGTAACAAAATGAGAAGGTAAAACCCAGCACTGAGAATAAAATCTGCTGCAGTGCTGGTGTCATTGTTATTCACTTGTTGTCCTGGTAATCTTGTTCAAGGCCTGCTGACCACCTGAGCTGGACATGGAAGTAAATTAATTTCATTTAGCTTGTTTAATTCAGCCCTGGGACTTGCACTTGGACATGCAGCTAGTGAAAACATCCCAAATTCTACAAACGAGTATTATTTATTTACTCTTCGCATACATAAAATTGATCAGTGCAAAATGAGGGGTTAGTTTTGGCTCTTAAACATTTTGTCATCAAACCTCAAGTTGTTGCTGGTTTTACCAAATGTCTCCCGATGGTTTTTATTATTTATAGTAAAAGACAGAGTGAGAACTGAAAAAATTACAGGGTTTGTAATTTCATGACTGCAACAAAGGTTTTGCAAGAGGCTCTCATAATTAGGAAAGAATAACTACAACTCTCTGACATGATGGATGTTATCAGAAGATGGTTAAAAATAGGTGAGGAATGTCCAGGGCAGACTTGTCAGGAAAGTCATCTCATGGTGACATGATGTTTGTCATCTTAACTTAATCATTTGAAGAAAGCTGAACACAATATTCCAGTGTTTAACAGATCAAGTGCCAATAGGTTTAAATTTTACAATGTAATGTTTGCTGTAACACAGGTGGAATTTTAAATGCTTTTACAGTGCCTGATGTAGATTACTGGGGATTGTAGGAAAAGCTTCCCAAGCCCACATCTCGAGTGCAGTGTGGTCTGCTGAGTGCAGTGCTTGCCTGATAAGAGCTTTCTTTTTCACCTGCCACTGACCTTGGATATTAGTGCAGTAACTTTTAGCAAATTATCCCACTATGCCTCGATTTCTTTGTCCACGAAGTGTTGATAATGACAGCATGTTCCTTTGTAAAGCGCTTTGAGACCCAGGTAATTAAGTGTCAGATAATGGCATTGGAATGTGTGTATAAAGGCAAAATGCACACTGCATGGGTAGCTAAATGAAATGCTTATGAGATAGATATTCATCAGTTCATTGACTGGCTGTCAATCTCTTCCCTAGCTCTGGTCACACGCTATTAAGATATTGAACTATATAAAGATCCTAGTAAACAAAAATGTCAGCACCTCCTAGTCCAGGTAGTTCAGAGTTTTTTACACTACAGAACTACTTAAAACAAAAATGGCTGTGTTTGGTTTTTGGTTTGTTTTTTTTTTAAACCATTGATTAAAATCACAAGAATTTTGATGTTACTTCTTGCGAATAAAAATATTTGCTCATTCACCGTGAAAAAGAATTTTCTTCCATTTTCCTCTAGGAAATACTTCTTCCTGCAAAGAATTATTTGATAAAACTTCTGATTAATTCACTGTCTGTCATCCTGGTGTCTTGTAGAGATGCAGATTTTCTTCTTAGAGACTGAAGACCTACACCAGCCTTACAGGGCAGTGTACATCCACGAGCCAGTGCTATGAATTTTCCTTCTCTGTAGGTCCTTTAAAATAGCAAATGGGAAAGTGAGAGCTCCCATGGATCTACTGCCCATGGATATGTCTTCTGTTTTCATGGATCTCTCTTTCCCAGTGAAAAGAGATAATGTTTGAGTATTTGTGTCGGTAGATTAGTTCTTAAAGTGCTTATGCAGGGCTGCTGATAGCAGAACCTTCACTGTTCCAAGGGTTCTGGCTTTTTTTTCCCCCCATATTTTGGTTATGAATCCTGTGCAGTTTTACCAAAGGTAACACTTTTAA